GGCCATATAATGATAAATATATATATGTTTCTATTACATTTTAGATTAGATTACTAGATGAATTGAATGGCAAGTTAAACAATTCTTCAGATTAAAAAATCATAGTAACTTTATTAATAAAGTTATTATTATTTGTAATTTTTTGGTAGGCTCGTAAAATGGTTAAAAATACACATAATGTGTAATTTTGGAAGTTATATGACCATTTAATAAAGCTCTCGCCAAGTTTCTTCTCTTCATAAAAATCATTAATTTTTATTTTATTTTTACAAAATTTCCTGATTGTTATTATTATTGTTGATCATGTCAAATAATTGACGCGTGCGCTATTTATATAATAATCCTTTGATACGCGTCTCACTATTTATTTTACATGGAAAACAATCTTTAATACAACATTATATTGCAAATTTTAAAATTGTATTTATTTAAATTGACTATACCATCACTATTTTATCCAATGATCATTTTTGTTTAATTAGTGTTATTTTGTTAATTCTTATAATTATGCATTCTAAATTTATCAATTGGTTAATAATAAATAATCAATTATCAAGTATTAACTATCCTTGTATGTGAAATCGAAATCTAATAAATTCCCTTGGATTGGCTAATTTCACGAATGTGATCACATAGATTTCATTTTTACACCATTATCAATATTTATCGTTTTTCTCTCTATTGCCAACCCTTAGAGCGAGATCATCTAAAATACATTCTAGATTTTATAAGATAAACATTAATAGATGATGATATTTATTAGAACAAAAAAACCTTGTCTTTATTTTCTTACCATATATATATTACACTTCCATCTTCTGATCTTGTACATATATATCATATGAACTGCTTCATTCATCACTTTTAAAAATATTTAATAGCCCAATTTTCCTGACTAAACACTCATTTAATTTTCTTTGTAACCATCTAAAAATATTAATATCTTTTTTTCATCCACTTCACCCTCTATTAATTTTATAAAAACCAACATATATTATTTCTTGCTTAAATTGTCTAACTAAAATCCAGGAATTAATATATACACACTTACAGGGAATATTATGCATTTGTGTTTGAACATCTAAAAAGGTGCTGCTACTTCATGTTATTAATAT